CTAACCTAACCTAACCTAACCTAACCTAACCTAAACCTAACCTAACCTAACCTAACCTAACCTAACCTAACCTAACTAACCTAACCTAACCTAACCTAACCTAAACCTAACCTAACCTAACCTAACCTAACCTAACCTAACCTAACCTAACCTAACCTAACCTAACCTAACCTAACCTAACCTAACCTAACCTAACCTAACCTAACCTAACCTAACCTAACCTAACCACCCAAGAAGTTGGGTGTGGAAGCATTTTGTTGACAAAGACGTGCAAAATTGGTCATCACAGACACGCGAAATAGAAACCATTACGGCTCTAATGTGTTTGAGAGATTGGTTTCCAGAAAGTAGTTTTTTGGTAACTAAATAAATTTTTAGTTAGCATTAATTAGCATTTTAATTGCATGTTTTGTTTAAAATAAAATGGATATTATTGCTACAAATTTACGGATTATAAATTATAACACGAATTATTGTAATAAATAATAGTAGTTTTTGTCGGATAACCGATCGGATCGGATATCCGACGGATTTTATCGGATACGGATCGGATATCCGACGGATTTTATCGGATATGGATCGGATATCCGACGGATTTTATCGGATACGGATCGGATTGACTGGGTTAGGTTAGGTTAGGTTAGGTGTGAAGATTTTTGCTGCGACCGTTTCGGAGGAAGATTTATGTGGCAGCCGTATTGGAGGAAGATTCTGCAGCAAAGGACGAGTATGGCATCGAAATCCAGTCATCAAGTTGCGGGTAATGTGTTGCACCAGGCATCTTGTCAACACCGAAGGTTTTCTAGATAATTGATGTTTTTGAGGTCTAGTCAGGTAGTTAGTCAGATTGTCTGTCTCTTCCCTCCAAAGCAGTCGTAATATTTATGCGAGTAAATAAATAGTCTATCAGTGAATAATAGTGAATTGTCTTGTAGTTGCGTCATTAATGATCAATATCCAGGATTTGGGTGGGATACGCAAGCGTGTCGCAATTATTATTCTTGAGGTCAAGTCAGTCCCAACGTAAAGTCAGTGTCAAGTCAAGTCGGCGTCATGGATATCCAGTTTTTGGAAAACGTGAGCATGTGCTCTTTCTTTGGACATGTAAGGGATGAGGCCAAAGCAATAGCCTTTTTCAAGGCTCGTCGTCTCATCCCCACTACCGTACCAAATTGCACAGGTTGTGGGGGTGGATGAAAAGCCAAATCCTCAATGAAGCTGGGCTTCACCTATTGGAGGTGCTCCACGACCCTCATCCCCCTGCATAACACATTTTTTGAGAACGTGCAGCTCTCATTTCTCCAGGTGACCCAGCTTACTGTCTTGTGGCACTTCCGTGTGGGGGTTACAATGGCGGCGTATGAGGTCAATACGACCGAAAAGACCGCCATTTACTTCTACAATTATTTTCGGGAGGCCTGCCGAGTTGTTCATGAACATGACGAACAACAAATCGGAGGCCCCCGAGATGTAGACGTCGATGAAAGTCACCTCTTCACGCGGAAATACCGGGGGCGGATTCTGCGTGCCACGGAGCAGTTTTGGGTCTTCGGGTCTTCGGGAAAATAAAGAAACCATAATAACTTATGTCCCATGTATGTACTTACTTTGACCGAAGGGTTTACCGATGGTACAGCCGCGTATACAATTCTGTATCTGAACCATTGTATCGGAAACATTGGACACATCCGTTTGTGCACTTTCCCTGTAAGTTTAAGTATTCGACAGAAGGATATTACATATAACAAATAATATAACAGTTTGTTAAAATTGGTTGTCACTCATGTAATCTTAAAAAAATTATGCAGTCAGTCAAGTTGGACACCGGATCCATGGGAACTAAGAACTCAAATAATGTAAGGTCAGTTTAAAAGGATTTCCCAATTCAGAATGTGCATGTATTTCCGTTAGCTACAAACCTTCAATACTTGTAAAATTCTTGGATATACATACACTCGCATTGTTTGGCCCTAGCATTACAGCGACAACCTCCAAAAATGGTGTCCTATTAAATATATTTACATTTATATGATTACCAGGGAATAATTACCAATGTAATTGACACAATTGAGTGATAACCTTTGCCATTTCTACCATCAAATGTATAAAGTATATAAGTCTACCCTACGAACCCGAGGGCATTTTGTGACCTTTGCGGTAATATCTCAAAACCTGTTTTTTGCAGGATTTATTTTATTCCGCCAAACGAAAATATATTTTCCCCCAACCAAAAGTAATAATTTTCCCAATCATGAAATGTCCAACGGGTTTAATTTTTTTTACCCAACGAAAATGTAAAACCACCCAACCAAATAATAACCTTATTTACCTATCGTATTAATGTAAGTAATGGACAGATAAGAGGCATGCATCAACTCAACCTTCTCAATCACCTCCAGTCCGGCCATTCATTCAAACCATCCGGTTACCACTCTAAAATTTAGAAAATAAAGAAAATATGTCGTATTATCAAAAACTAAAAAATTATCAGTCCGACTCCGAGTCGGATGAACCACCCCGTCAGAAAAACAGAATTTTGAATTGCAAAACTACAGCAAAAGTAAAGTTTTGCACGCAGATGCAACATACAAACTTGTTTTGAGGGATTTCCAGTCTTAGTAGTCGAAACATCAGATAAAGACCGACATTTTCATCCGTTGGGCATTGCATTGTCTTCAGGAGAGGATTCACAAGACTTCGCAAATATTTTCAATGTTCACAACATCCTGGACGGAAAAATTTTTCATACCACTTCTTCAGGATCAAATTCATTGATATCGGAATCGTATGCTTGGGCACAAGAGAAAAATGGCCTCCGATTCAAGAAACTGAGCGAGACTTTAATACAGTGTATTCGTCCAGTCAATAATATGCATTCGACCTCAAGAAATTGACAAAATCCTGGGTTTAATACAACGAATTTCATGGAAAAATTTGACTCCTATGCGTCAAGAAAATCTACTTTCTGGATTATTAATTATCAAATTGTTGACTGGATTTCCTCCACTTGTTCTTGCCCAATATTTCAAAAGGAATATATTTGCAAACATATTGTTAGTATTGGCATTTTCTTTTTTTAAGCAGCCGGGCAATTGCTATTTCGAGATTGCATTATCACGTGTATGTACGGGGATCAGTGGCCTAGCCAGATAAAGGCTAATGGGGCTGGAGCACCCTCATGGCCCAAAAATACGAAAAAATTTTTAAGTGTGTTTTGAGAAATATGAGTAACTTATGTCTAATTTCTATCCACTAATGTGTTATGGATATTTTGAGAATTTTTTAAACCACACAATTTTAATGTTTAACAATAAAAAATCCTCACCTACACATTTGAGTATATTTTGTCCGCTGATATTAAGCAAAGGAATTTCAGTTGCAAAAGAATACTTGGAAAATGTAGCGCAATTCAAAAATCAGATTATTATAATCCGCCAAATTATAGCTTGATCACTGTTAATTTCATTTCGCAAATTCATTTCGTCGATAAGGAGGTAATAACCTATTCATTCATTAACCTATTCAAAATTTAATGAGTTTAACCTACGTCACGTACGTGACAAATGTTTTATACACGAGCCCCCCCTAAGACCCAATCCTGGCTACGCCACTGACGTGTATGTCAGATAGATATGCAGATTACATAATCTATCTATTTATTTAGTATATAAAAGTCCCAGCGTAATGAACCTTGCAAATTGTAGATTTTGGAAACTGGCAGTCGAAATATCATCACGATAATAAATATTAGTAAATGCATAAAATAGCCATCGTATAAAGAACGTATGTATGTAGTACGTATTTAGTGTTAATTTAATTTTTTTTAAACCGCCGAACCAAATTAACCACCGTTCAGATTGCCAGTGTGGAATCAATCTTCGTGCCATGATCATTGTGTGACGTCATTCTGAACGGTGCAACATCAAACTTACCGACAAACCCATTGGCTGATGGGGCAAATAGCACTTTCACAGCTTTATTTTTAAACACCGTTGGTCTCTTGTTTACATGGAATATTGGGTTTCTTGTCCTCTATATTATAATTGGGAATCTCTGTTGGTAACGGAAGTGAAAGGAAATTTTGCGCAACGGAAGTGAGGGTGGCCTAAGTTAAAACATGAAAAAACATCACTTGGTGGAAATGAGAGGTAGGGGGAGGTCGATAAGGCTGCTATGCATATTTTTTGCTTATCATGACGTTATCTGTAAGGCTGGAGCGCCACGTGGAAAACAAGTTGTTTTCCTTTCATAGCAGGCTTATCGACCTCCCCCTACCTCTCATTTCCACCAATTGATGTTTTTTCCTGTTTTAACTTAGTCCACCCTCTCTTCCGTTGCAGAAAATTGCCTTTCACTTCCGTTTCTGAAATTTCCATTCACTTCCGGTACAGAGGTACAGAGTGAAACGCTGAATTATAATAAAGATGGGGATCAGGAAGGAAAAGGAAAGGCTGCCTTTCCTAGCGTTGGCAGAATACGGTGTAGGCTGTGGGGAACTGGAAGGGAAGGGGAACGTGTTCTTTTCCATCAGGACGGGACGCGGAGGTGTAATAGATAAGACGGTGATGGGAGCTATATGTGGTTTGTGACAAGAGTCACATGATGAGGAGGCGCACGAGATACCCACTAAACTAGACGGACTAAATTTTTCGTAGATTGCATATAGGACCGCGGAGACGGGCTTATTTGCTAGTATTTCATATTCACGCGGTAAACACGCAATTTCTTTCAGCACATTTTTGGTGTGAACATCAAAATCTGATGGTCACTTGTATTATTCTAATCCATGCATATAAATTGTCTGCCACTCGTGTTGCCCGTGCAGAACAGGCTTTAGTATGATAAAAATACATTTTGATTTCGGCATATGCAACTATGTTTAATCAAAATTCAGACAATAAAATTCCCCTCGACATTTCGTTACACCAATTAAATAATATTTGGGAATCAGATACCCCTCAACATTTTCAATGGCGCACCGTGTATTTTTCTTAAGATCCTGAAATCGGTTTGATTTATTTAGATTTGTTAAAACAATCCAAAGATGAAATTCACAGAATTATTCTAAGTAATGCGTATTAGTGCAAAATATTTAAAATAAAGTATATTGCTCGAAATAATTTTGTTTCCATAAATAAATTTAACAAATGAAATGGTGGAATTCTGTCGCCTGAATTAGAAACTAAACAAATCAGTCGCTTCGGAATTTCTATGATCCAAACGCGATCAACGGTTATACTTGGAGTAATGCTTGCCTCTTTCTCATGATTTTTTTGCCGGAGCACGAATTTTGATACGTCTTTCGTTTCCCTAGGGTAAATGATCTTTGACTTCCGAATGATCCATTGCGCTGTTTTATATTTTTGTTGCCTCCCCCAATTGTCGCGAGTGAGTTTGAACTTCTACTCATTGCAAAATTTCTTCCTCCATGTAGATTTTGGCTATTATAAATTCCACTCCTGCCAAACGTTGGAGCCCGAGATCCTTTCCCAGTATTTCTGGGATTTCCGCAGGCTTCTTTAATTGCTTCTTTAACCAGGTCGTGCTGAACGGTTCCCTCTAAATGCATAATTCTTCCGCCATAATCCTTAATCGTAACTTTATCTTGAAGATTCACTGTTGTTGTTACTGGGTGTCCTTCTGCAAGCAGTACAGTATCATATGTTTTCTCTCTGTTGTTCAGGTCGGACGTAAGCCCTTTAAAGTCAGGTAATAGAATAATTGAATTGTAGTCCTTTTTCCCAATCCTTTGTTCAGGATTACTGGTCAGTACTTCTATTGTAGGAAATGGACGGTCCACCTTGGTTGGAGGGGGTGTTGTTACAGTGGATTTTGCTGTTTCTAGTTTTTCGATTGCCTTACCAACGTTACTCAGCTTACTTTTATTTAGGCTTCCTCTCCTTCCAAGAAGGTAAAATGTATTATCGTCTTGTACATATATCTTTTCATTTAGCCATTTTTCTGTCCCTTTTATAATACACCGTTCCCGAAATTCTGTATTCGTGAAGGGATTTGTGGATGTGTGCTGAATCAGAAATGCAACGGTTACACCACCTTCCGCAACATCTTTTGTTTTTAGCACTACAGACACAGCTGGGTCTGGTTCATTTAAAGATCCACTATTACCTCCAGGATGTTGATGGCCTTCCGACGAAAATTGTTCCACCAGCCTTGAGCTTTTGCGGTTGTGGAATTCATACCCGTTGGTTGAATTGATGTAAACTATAGAACGAGACAATTAATTACCACATAGTCAGATAGATTACAATAGAATTGCGTTAAATCTTACTTGCTACAAGGGTAAGAAAAAATGAAAACAAAATATTCCACTGTCCCTTCCCCATTGTTACTTTTATTAGGTCTCAGACGTGAACTAGCCTGAGATGAAGCCCGTCTGGAAATACGTAATAAAATAGTGTAGGTTACTGAATATATATATATGTATGTAAAAACCTTGGAAACAATGAATAGCTCAGTTACCAGAGAATTTTGCAGTGAACTTGTTCTTCGTGTTCAAAATTTATGGCGGAACCAGATACTTTATCCAAGGCCTGCTCAGCTTACAGTAGAAGTTACTATATATGTGGGTGATTGTATCAATCTGTGGATCAGAATTGACGCTTTAGGTATGTATAACGCGGCTAATATTTTGGAGGATAACCTGTCATATTTGGACTCGTCAATCTTGATGCCCTTTGGACATGTGGTACATACTAACATTTTAGAAAATAAAACGTGTGAAGCAGTTTGATGCAATGGTCACATATGCGCCCGCCAAACCCCTTTGAAAGTTTGATAATTCTGACATATTTTTCATTCCAGACAAATGATTTATAATATTAGACATGAATCCTGAGTTTATTAAAATTGAGCGTTCAAAATTTTCGAAATTATCAAAAAGTTACCAGGCTATTGAATATCATAAGGTAACTAGCTGGTCTGAAAATATGTAAGCGTTATGACAATTCGAGAAAAAAAGGGTTTTTTTTACAAAGGCCTAAGTTTGGCTAGTTAACCATGGGGTGCGCCTTCAAGGGGGTGTGGCTTGCGCAAATATGGCCATGGCTTAACGCACTTGTTTTCTCATGGGATATTAGCAGATGTCCAACGGGTATCGAGATTGGTGCGTCTAAGAATTTCAGGTCATCCTCCATCGTGCTATCCCACTCCACAGGTCCACATATTCGACGACTTCTTGGCGCTATGTCTGCAACTTCGTAGCGAATTCGTACAGAATCCTAATTCGATACTTCAATACAAAATTGTGGACATAGCGTCAGGAAATAATCGAGAATCCTCAACAACTATCTCGAACTGATGGGTAGGATGGTGTTTGTATCTCTTTAAAAGTAACCATTATTTAGAAATTTTTCTACAAGAAATTAGTTGGTTGATTTGATGCATATGACAAATTGAACTGAATTTGGTATACATATCGACCCTAGGATATTCACTTTAATGCCGTCTGTTTGTGGATATTGCTAATATTTTACCTGCAGCGTGGGTTCCGGTGTAAATATTGTTTAAATTGCTAATGCAATTTTAGCTACAGTATGAGCGAAATATTTTGCAATGAGGTTGGGCTGTCAAATCTAGAAATGAATGAATCTGAGGTTATAAAGGTGAGGTTTATTTTGTTGGAGTAGCAAGGTGTCCAGCTGGATTACGATAAATTTGACAGATGTGCATAGTTTTATCTAGTAATGAGGGAGTACTCGTTAGATAATCCTGTTGGAATTCTGATGATATGTTGCGCCATCCCTAGTAGATCAACATTGGTATTGCTTGTGTGTTTTATGCGTGAACTTATATTTTGTGTATAAAATATTTTTTAAATAATTTATGTCAGTAATCAGCGCATATAATCCATGCTCATGCAAAGTGAATTTTTTTAAAATTTGTCTTCAAAATCTTTCATATGAAAGTATGTAAATATTAACGAGTACTATACAAAATAGGAGATTTCCAGCACCATTTTGAAACTTTGGTGCAAGACAACTAAATAACCGTCATCTGACGGGTTTAGCTCATTTTAGACTTCGAATTCTCATACTGAACATGCCAAACTTGAAGGTACATAATTGGTTCAACCGTTTAGGATGTATAAAGTCGCAGACGGATGGTCACGGAGACGAATTGAACAAATTGACAATTGACACATTGACAAATGAAATATATGATTAAAAGATCGACCCCGTGGTGGTATGTACGTGAAAATTACCCTAAGTAACTACGAAATTTCGTTTACTGTATTTTGAGTAGATTGCCCAACTCATTACATACATTTTATTATTGATGTGTCGATTGCTTAATTTCTGCAATTTTCACATAAATCGCATATGAGCGATGCAGTTAAATCTAAGATGGTCAAATATAAGTATTTATATAATTACTAGTATCAGTAAAAATACAAATCAAGTGTGATACGACTGATATACAACAAGCTCACCCTGTTAGGCGCATACAAAATGGTGGTTCTAGTTCTTGCCAGATATTATGACTTGAGAAGCTAAAGGTGTCCTACCGCCTAAAACCAACACGGTATTCGTGTTCCATTACATGAAATGAATAACACCTAGAACAGTAAAAACCAAAATTACGAATTGTTGACCATTGTGACTGGTCATTGTAGGTAAAATATACTGTTAACCGGCAGGTGGCGCCGGACGTTTGTGTCGGCGGCGCGCCGAGGCACGCCGAAGGATTTTCTCGGTGGCGGTGACGTGAAAAATAGGGTCGGCGCCGGCGGCGAGCCTACGCAAAATCGGCGGGGTGGGGCTCTGATTTAATCTACAAGGGCCCAATATAAAGGATCCGTTCAAATTTCCCTGTAAAACTCATTTGGCGAATTGCCGTGGCGCCACATTCGCAAAATTCGATAATTTTAATTTTTAAACCGCATAACTTTTGAAATCCTCGACGGGTTTTCACATTTTTTGGCTTAAAATGATCATAAAGAGTTAGGTTTCAATATACAATAAACTAAACCCAAAAACCTACAGTGCAGCTTTGCTTAGCCCTAGCCAGGGTTGGTCAGAAATCTCAATGTGAAGGTTTAACTTGATTAAACGATTTTTAAAAATCGCTATGGGTAGCCCCGTAGGATCCCTCCACCTGAATTTTTTTCCAATTTCACTTCGTATTCTTTCATTAGAAGTCGTTACCAACCTGTATGCCAAAATTCAGCTTAATTGAGTGATTTTACAAAATCAGTATGGGTCACCCCACAGGGTACCTCTGGGTCAAAATTTTCAAAATTGTACATCATAAACTACCATTATAAGCTGTTATCGACTTCTGTACCAAATTTCAGCTTAATTGGACGATTTTGAAAAATCAGTTTGGGTGACCCCATAGGGTCCCTCCTGATAAAAATTTTCGCAAATTCACTGCATATCTTTTCATTAGAAGCCATTAGTTACCTATGTACCAAATTTCAGCTTTCTATGACTATTTTGAAATTTGGTGCATAATAACCCCACCACCCATATGGCCCCCACAGGTCAACCACTTGACCGATCATACTCATTTTCGAACTCCCTTCCTAAGTTTGGCCAATACACATGTGTTCCAAATTTCAACTCCATCGGTTGACTTTGAAGAGAGTTATCGCGAAGACAGACGGACGGACAGACAGACATAACGGGTACATAAGCCCTGGCTCGGGCTAAAAAGGATTGCTTAGGTGAGACTATGTGCGATTGTGCGACTATGTGCGATTTATCCTTTGTACCACAAAGGATAAATTAGAATGTATACCAAGAAATTATATCCAGGACGGTGATGCGGGGAATAAGAACACTTTATCTGAGGGTGGGGGCGGGGGGTTATTTTAATCTTTTAATCGCACATAGTCTCACCTAAGCAATCCTTTTTAGCTCGAGCCAGGGCTTATGTACCCGTTATGTCTGTCTGTCTGTCCGTCCGTCTGTCTTCGCGATAACTCTCTTCAAAGTCAACCGATGGAGTTGAAATTTGGAACACATGTGTATTGGCCAAAGATTAAGGTATGCATGTATGCATTCAACCATATACATACATACAATTATGCTAATATATGTATTATCAATAAGTTCCAAATTTGGTTCAAATTTACTAAATACTAAATCATCCAAGACATTATTTTATTAAATAATGCAATTGGCAAGCAAGAAATTATACCCAGGGCGGTGATGCGGGGAATAAGAACACTTTATCTGAGGGTGGGGGTTATTTTAATCTTTTATTTTTTTTATTTTTTTTTTCCATGATATTTCGGGTATTCCAACCCTTTATTTCACCACAAAAAATGTTACAACATGACACGATTCACTAACTAAAACTATACTAAAAACATTGAATCGTAGCATGTAATCAATTGAGTATAAACTGGTGAACACATTTCTTATATTAAAAGCAGTTCTGCACTAAAAAATTAGCAAAATGGGATGCGTTTAAAGCTATTACTGATTTCTATAAAAGTTACCAATTTTACTGGCCAAAATAAGGAAGTGAATATCACGGGAAATATCACATTAAATAATTTTTAAGAAATTATTTAATTTAATAAGCATGACAAGCCCACGAGGCAACTTTCCCCTGAAAAGATATCAGGAGTCAGTGTACCTCACCCCCGGAGTTTAATGGAGTTGGGACTCCTCCGGAGGAAGGCTTGGCATCCTACACCCTAACCTTACCGAGCCAAATGCAGATGCAAATAGAAACGAAAGAGCCTCCCAACTCCGTATTTGCGCATTTTCAGAAATTCTTAGCTCTTTTTAAAATAGGATAGAGAGGAAAGCAGCCATCATCTAAAATTAGAGAAAAAATATCAAAAATATATTTAAATAAATTATTTTGATGGTGGTTTCTTCATGGGGAGGACTTTTCGAATATGCCGTCAGGGTTGGAACTAAGCATGTGCCTACACCCCTTCTGCTTGAGGACCACAGTTTAAGACACTTTAGTATATAATTAAGGTAAAATCAGTTCTTATAAGTAAATTTAAACTAAACCTTAAAATTAACCTGTCCTTATGATAAAACTATAAATCATGCAATAATTCATGCAAGAATAAATCAGTGGCAGAGTTTTGTGCATGGAATAAAGAAAACATGCATAATTGAAACATGCATATCTGAAAAGTTCAGCATATTTATAAGCTAGATTATATAAAATTGAGATTAATTTGAATTTTATTATTATCAAACTTGTACATTTTGTATTTTTTCCATTTACGATGGAAATTATTTAAAAAAACTCTGCCACTTCTCATGCTGACATGATATTCAGTCAATAGACGACCGAAGATCATATGCCGAAGATGGGCCAAAAAATCAAACTGATCATCAAAATTATTTAAAAAGAGGACATACGACTTGTAGGTAGTGCAAAGACCATAAAAAATTAAAATATTGCCCACTCTGTCTTTGCACCCGTTTGACACATACAACTTGAGACTCGAGGCAGTTAGATTTTTACCTAAAATCTTAAAGATAAAGCGCCACATTGGCTTAAAATGCTCTCAAAATGGATAATGACCTGAGTTAATATTTTTAAAATTACAGAAGGGGCAATCCCTTCCCTCTCTTAAGTTCATAGCATCCGCCAATTTGGAAGTCAAACCAGTCTTGTGCCAGATCTTGTACACTATGTCCTTTTCTGGATTGGTGACCTCCGCCCTTTTTAACTGTTCCCATCGATCAGCATTTACGATCTCAGGGTCAGCCATAGGCCAAGATATTTTTGAAGCAACAGGGGTACACACAAGGTAGAGTGTTGCTTTGGTAATTACTTGACAATTTTCAGAACTGATAAAATTGCGACATTGTAAAGTCGCCAAGTCAGATATTATTTTCGCATCAAGTACTTGACGCAGAGTTCTCGACTCTGCATCAGTGAGACGCTTTGATGGAGGTCTGGTTTGACTATGGCGAGGAGTATGGGTCAGAAAATCACCAACAGTAACGTAACCCGATTTTACCATGTTTGGGAAAGTTACATTGTTGAAAAAGTGGTGTTTGAAAGGGAGATTGAGTGTAGGAGGTTCTCAGTTACATTTTCAAACCTAAGCCCCACAGTTTTAACAACATTACTCAGGTTATCATAAAAAGGGGAGGAGTCCTCGGGCTTATTATCGGTCAAAATATTTAAAATATTTCTATGCCCATACGCACAGAAATATAAATCTTGAAAATTTATCAATTTATTTACAAAACTTACTCGAAAAGTGGCCACTTGCACCAAAGGATGTCGAACGCCAATCCCCCCATTTGCAAGTGGCAAATAGAGAAAGTGACGCCCCACCCATCGTTTCGAACCTTTCCATACAAAATTTTCGCAGAGTTTGGTTATTTCGTCAATAAAGTTAGAAGGGGGGTCAAGAATCTTAAAAACATACCAAAGTATCGGCAATATATATATATTTAAAATTTTAGCCCTAGAAAAAAACTAACGGCAGAAACCTTCACATCATAAAAATTGAGTTTCTTTTTGAATTTCTCAAGCAGAATTGAGAAATTCAATGACACGAAATCAATATTTCCAAATAAAATTCCTAGAATTTTTACAAAGTCAGTTTTGACAGGAAAATTGAGAACAGACCACG